AGTGTCGCCTATGCGACCATTCAGTATGTACAGATTATTAGTTTTTCACATTTCCAGGAGTAATCTCCCAAATGGGTTTACAGTTTTATCGGAGGTATTTCTGACCTGTTGAACTATATTTTCAGGATAAAATGCGTGGGGGGAAAAGTCAACTACATGCTCATCACTATTGAAATTTAAATAATCAATTTCTGCACCGGTTCTGGCGTTAAAGTCACCAACCAACAACGAATACTTGTCATCATTCATTAGTTGGTGCATTTCATATTCAATACTATTAAATGCATCTCTGTTACTGTATTTGGAATATTCGGATGGGAGGAATACTACGCCAATTATAACACTTTTATCTAAATTGATAAGATTTTTGGACAATTCAAACCATAAAACAAAGCTACTTTTGTTTTCGTGTACATGCAGGTATTGTTTCAATTCAGATTTAAAACCTAATACAATCCCTCCTGACCTTGTTTTACTGTATTTTCCCCTGTTTTTCATAACAAACTCATAACTCTCCAATTTCAACACATTCAAGTCGTCAGTTTTAGTTTCCTGGAAACATAAGATATCAAAGTCAATAATAAAATGGATAAAAAGTTTTTATTCATACATATAACTGTAATACACACTAAGTATTAGAAAATAATTATTAAATATTAATATTTACATTATATGATAAATAAAAATAACATTACCTTATATGAAAAATAAAATTCCTTAATTTAAGCCACATTGATACTAATGTCAGCAATAAAATAAAGTTTCTATTCATACATATAACAGTAATACACATTTGATACAGCACTAACAGATAATTATCAAACATAAATATAAACAGTAAACCACTAAATGAAGCTGAAGTTTCTAGAACGAATCACATTCTCTATATATATCACTTAAGTCTCTAGCACAAAACATTCTATCCAAGATGCAGAAGCTGTGACCCAATGTAAACACGTATTTTTGAGCAGAGTTGGTGTTCAGGGAATCCACCCTTTAAACACATTACCACTCTTTGTATAATGTAGTATTGTAGTTGTTGATATATAATGTAGTATTGTAGCTGTTGATATACCACTCTTTGTAGAATGTAGTATTGTAGTTGTTGATATACCACTCTTTGTAGAATAAGGTATGTTTAGTTGTTGATATACCACTCTTTGTATAATGTAGTATTGTAGTTGTTGATATAGAATGTAGTATTGTAGTTGTTGATATGCCACTCTTTGTAGAATGTTGTATTGTAGTTGTTGATATACCCCTCTTTGTAGAATGTAGTATTGTATTTGTTGATTAGACTGTAGTATTGTAAATGTTGATATACCACTCTTTGTAGAATGTAGTATTGTATTTGTTGATTAGACTGTAGTATTGTAAATGTTGATATACCACTCTTTGTAGAATGTTGTATTGTAGTTGTTGATATACCACTCTTTGTAGAATGTAGTATTGTAGTTGTTGATATACCACTCTTTGTACATGTAGAATGTAGTATTGTAGTTGTTGATATACCACTCTTTGTAGAATGTTGTATTGTAGTTGTTGATATACCACTCTTTGTAGAATGTAGTATTGTAGTTGTTGATATAGAATGTAGTATTGTAGTTATTGATATACCGCTCTTCATAGAATGTAGAATTGTAGTTGTTGATATACCACTCTTTGTAGAATGTAGTATTGTAATTGTTGATTAGACTGTAGTATTGTAAATGTTGATATAACATTCTTTGTAGAATGTAGTATTGTTGTTGTTGATTTAGAATGTAGTATTGTAGTTGTTGATTAGACTGTAGTATTTTAGTTGTTGATTAGACTGTAGTATTTTAGTTGTTGATTAGACTGTAGTATTTTAGTTGTTGATTAGACTGTAGTATTTTAGTTGTTGATTAGACTGTAGTATTGTAAATGTTGATATACCATTCTTTGTAGAATGTAGTATTGTAGTTGTGGATATACCACTCTTTGTAGAATGTAGTATTGTAAATGTTGATATACCATTCTTTGTAGAATGTAGTATTGTAGTTGTTGATTTAGAATGTAGTATTGTAGTTGTTGATATACCACTCTTTATAGAATGTAGTATTGTAGCTGTTGATTAGACTGTAGTATTGTAGTTGTTGTATTGTAGTTGTTGATTAGACTGTAGTATTGTAAATGTTGATATACCACTCTTTATAGAATGGAGGGTTGTAGTTGTTGATTAGACTGTAGTATTGTAGTTGTTGTATTGTAGTTGTTGATTAGACTGTAGTATTGTAGTTGTTGATTAGCTGTAGTATTGTAGTTGTTGATTAGACTGTATTATTGTAGTTGTTGATTAGACTGTAGTATTGTAGTTGTTGATTAGACTGTATTATTGTAGTTGTTGATTAGACTGTAGTATTGTAGTTGTTGATTAATAGTTGTGTATATAGAAGTTTGTATTGTAGTTGTTGAGTAGACTGTAGTATTGTAGTTGTCTATATAGAAGTTTGTCCATCACGTGTAGGATTGTAGTTGTGTATATAGAAGTTTGTCCATCACGTGTAGGATTGTAGTTGTTGATATAGAAGTTTGTCCATCACGTGTATGATTGTAGTTGTTGATATAGAAGTTTGTCCATCACGTGTAGGATTGTAGTTGTTGATATAGAAGTTTGTCCATCACGTGTATGATTGTAGTTGTTGATATAGAAGTTTGTCCATCACGTGTATGATTGTAGTTGTTGATATAGAAGTTTGTCCATCACGTGTAGGATTGTAGTTGTCTATACAGAAGTTTGTCCATCACGTGTAGGATTGTAGTTGTCTATATAGAAGTTTGTCCATCACGTGTATGATTGTAAAGAAAACACCAAACACTACTTTACAGAATCATGTTATTTTATTTTTGCTCTAAGCTGTTTTATTTTCAGTATTTTGTAAATCGTATCTAAGTTATGACAAACACATTTATCTATTTGCTTAGGTATTAGTTTCGTAGATGTTATGGTATTCGTGACCCCATTTCACTTTGCCTTTGGTTTAACGCGAAAAAGCGTGACAATTTCTGCTGTTTTCGTTATCGTTTTTGCTGGAGTTCTGATTTTGTCCGTGTATGTTGTTAGTAAGTGTATTAATTTGTCCTAGTGTGTGATGCTGACGATGTGGTATACAGTAGCTGGCCTTTGTTTGCCATTGATAACTTGTGGTACAGTTGTGGGTCGCACAACGTTACACGATGTGCGGTGTGCGCACGATGTGTGCACGGAGTGGGAACGATAAAAAAATGGACGATGATTGCTTGCGCACATTTGTGCGGACGATCGACGAACGTTGTGCGATAACAATCGTGGTTGGTGTAAAATGAGGAATGGCTTAACAATATATACGGTTTGGTTTTTAAACATATACACTTGATTTTGTAGCATGTTTCTATATATTCTAGCTACATATATATATAAGCTGATCTTTCTGTCTATACTTTCTTCAATTTAGAAATGGTGTTTTCTGTGTTTTTTAAACGACCTTAATTGACATATGTAAAATTACAACACAGTCTCGGCAACGCAGGTAAACATAGCCACTTTGTACCTGGACCGTAGTTTTCCCCCGCCAGGGGCACCTACGTAACTCGCCAAGGTCTGAAAACCAGGTGAAGGGGAGCTATAGATCAAAACGAATACAAATAACAAATACTAAACGTCCAGTTGTTTTTTTTCATATCGGTCATACGGTATCACATAGCAGCTCCAGGTGTCAGACACAGGCCAGGTAAAACTCCGGTCACTAATCAAATTTTCATTTACCTGTTCTGTTACCTTTGAGCCGAACCCATTCTTGACAGCCTTACGGTCACTATGTGCTGTGTTACCCGCATTGTAAAATTGTACATAATCTTAATTATTGTGATGAAAAATTATAGTTATGTATAGATTTATTATATACAATGTACATTATTGCATACGCGATGCCCGTATTATTTTCATTCCGTAATATTGATTAACAAATTGTACCAAATCGCACAGTTGTGCATTGCGCATTTATTGATTACGTTCGTACAACCACCACAGTTGGGCGATAGCATGATGAACCGCCGAAACGCTATTTCTTTGGTTTACATAAGGACATCGAAGTGCAATTAAAATGTGTTTCATTGTGTTTTGACCATGTGGTACAATCTGTCCTAACTGGTTCATCCGTTGTCAGTATAATGTGACCGGACGGAATGGTGAGCTGGGTGACTTCGGCATGGTATTTCAGTGAGGTAGCACTTAAAAGTAAGCATCAGATCCGCGCTATCACAAGGAGGCAAGTACACCAATATATCCTGTCTCCTGCATACACACACACACGCAAACACGCATACAATTCACACATGGAGACAGGTCCTTAAATGACCTTAGCTGTTAAAAGGACGTTAAACAAAATTAAACCAAACCAAACCAAACATTCTGTCCTTGTGATGTGACAGTGGGGGTATTTTCTCTTGAGTGTTGACTTTGTAGTATAACTTCTTCTTGTATGTTGACTGTATGGTATATTTTCTCCTTGTATGTTGACTGTATGGTATATTTTCTCCTTGTATGTTGACTGTATGGTATATTTTCTCCTTGTATGTTGACTGTATGGTATATTTTCTCCTTGTATGTTGACTGTATGGTATATTTTCTCCTTGTATGTTGACTGTATGGTATATTTTCTCCTTGTATGTTGACTGTATGGTATATTTTCTCCTTGTATGTTGACTGTATGGTATGTTTTCACCTAGTATGTTGACGGTGTTTTATATATTTTCTCCCTGTGTATTGACTGTGTAATATATTTTCACCTTGTATGTCGATTGCATGGTATGCTTTCTCCTTGTGTGTTTGACAGTGTGATATTTTGTATCTGTGAGTGAACTAAATATATACGGTATATTTTGACCACTCCATATGGGTTGACGATAAAGATTCTGTTTTTCTATCCTCATTCATCACATATCTGCACCATTGTTTTCAGTGCTTATTATGCCAGTGTTTTCGTTTTTGATTGTTACAGGCTGGCAGTTTGGAGAATTCACCTGTCGTGTGACGCCCTACCTCCAGGGAGTATCGGTTAGCGCCTCCGTCAACACACTGGTGGCCATAGCGGTGGATAGGTAAGATCATGTTGACGACAATGTGAGTAAACAGAAATTTCTAGGATTTTTTATTTTTTTTGTTCTTCGGAGATTTTTTAAAAAAAAATAAAAAAGCAGATGCTTTATGTTTTATAGGACATTCAATAAAGATGAAAAGTTTGGTAACCATAGAAGAAAAAAGGTATATTCATAAATATTAAGCACACCAAAAAGCCAATACAAATAACATAAAGATGGCCACGTTCTGGTGAGAAGACGTTAACATGTAGCCATTCTGCTCAATACGTATAAAATGTTGGTGTTTCACCATATTTTTTTCATCCGAATGACTTGTGTTGTTCGATTCTGAAAAATAAAGATTGAATGTTCGGGGCATATTTGTAAAAAAGTTAAGAATCGCACCTTTGTAAGTAAATTTAATTCCTGTATGCTGATTCTGATAAACCCGGTTCTCAGGCGGACTCTAGAGTTCTTAATACTTGAATATGCATTAATATATTAGCCTCCAATTTGCCAAGTTTGGACATTTCTTGAACAAAATATCTGCAATAACGATGTATCCAGGCAAGAACAAGTTACAAAGTGTCTGTACTTAAGGAAATATGATAGAGGCATTGTTGAGGTTATAGTGGTAAAATATATCGCGAATATGACAGTACATATATCGCCGTGTAACCTATAGTTTTCCATTGATGGAAAGCCAAGTAAATAACTTTCTAACACCCCCGTGTTTGCAAGATACACGTGTACCACTACTGCAAAATCCCTCTCTAATGCAACTATTGGTTCCAGTTCGAGAACTGCAGTGTTTCTTCATTTTGACAAGGCAGTCCATAAAAAACAGATGGTCAATGGAGGAATAACGATACGGCAAAAACAAAGCCTGCATTTGGCCTCGCCTTAATAATGCAGGAACCATTACAATGTTTTAAACATACTTACTGCGAAGTTCTCCCAATCCTTAAAGTATACCTCCGATAAATTATACTTTTTCCTCCTTTTACAAAACAAGTTCTTAATTGTACGGCATCTACAGAAGCAATCATTCATGTATATGTATTTATCGTTGCATTCACAATGTCATTGCCGAGATTAACCAAATGTTCAGGTATACTAAGAATCGGACGGAAAAAGATTTGATTATCATATACACATTGGAGTTATACTGATAGATTTGTATACCCCATCCCCTACCTACATACGTGTATGGTAAACTCCATATCATGTCACAATACAAGGACAATTAAATTACGACATTTTCATCTTTGATGCTAAATTTTATTATCAAGGTAAAGTATTAAATCTGTATTTATTGTCATTTAACATTTACCTATATTCTGACATTTATTCTATAAACATACACTGAACTGTGATGCGCTCTGTCCAGTGGTACATGTATAAATAATTTACAAATTGGTTCAGTACTCAGGAAGTTTATATATTTGCAACAAGATGGCAGCTTCACGTGTCGTTTTAATCTACTGGTAAGCGATGTAAGAAAATAACTGTAGCGTATGTAAAATATGCAGGATAAAGATATCCCATCCTTGGGTACATAATTTGGGCTCAAAAGCTGCTGTCTCGTTGTTTGCCCCAAATTCTATACCTTCTGGTAGGCTATTTCTATCCTTTATCCATATGAATGAGTTACAAATGATATACTAGACCAAAGATTAGGCGCTGTGGTAAGACAACTGGTCCTATCCTAACATGAATAGAATCAGGGGATATTTTTAGGGTGAAATTGGAAACTTTTGAGCATTGACACATATTTGTTATGATTTAACAGTTATTTAGTATATGGTTGAAGAAAGGTCCGAAATAATATTGACGCAAAATTCATTGTTTTGAATGATAAATGCAAAATTTGTTTTGGACAAAAACAGTGATTGTTAACCTATTTTGCGAAAATTAGAAAACAGGCATGCGTTTTGCAATTCTATGCTTGACAAAGGAAACAGACGTTTTCGCAAAGCAAGTTTTCAATAACTGTTTGTGTTCAAAACAAATTTCGCGTTTATTATTCATACAGTGCCAAAATAATTAATCTGATTGTCGTCACTGTACCTTTTGTAAATGAAAATTAAAAATTAAAAGATCAAATGTTCGCTTGAGGGATTATCGGATACAAAATACATAAATTATATGTCTGTTTAAAAATATTGCTCCTCGTTTCTGATATACAGACACTTTCAGAAATACCGCTGGTCTAAACCGGCAGTTTTAGCAATCAAGTCTGTGTTATAACAGTAATCAGCTGTCAGGGAAACACAAGCTCGGAGATTATAAATTATCGAAAACTGATTTGAACTTGCATGGCCTACCATACACCGTTAAAATGATCATCTTAAAGGATTTAAGTAAACCGTGCGAGTGTCTCTGTCAGGCGGTTTATAAGGTAAAATGTAAAATGCTAATATTAAAAGTTCACTGTCTGCCGGTCTTTAATGACATGAAGGTTTCCGGAGTAAATATCTCCGTGTATCACCAAATATAGCACTTTGATGTAAAGTTTTCGCAAGTATGGACTAAGAATGCTTTTGTTTATGTCCATCGGATGACGTAAGCGTCAATCATGGCGCGGGACAACAGTGAAACTTGTCTCCTTTTCATAGAGCAAATTACTAGTCTGTTAGTCTGGATGACACGTTAGAAGGCGTTCATAATACGACATTAACTTCGTAGACACAACGTTAGATCCAGCATCGATCAACAGAGGACGTACGTACATTGTAATCAGTTTTGGGGGACCTCCTGGGCTTATGAGGGTGACACGGCCACATAGCTAGTGTGACGGAGTATTCTTCTTTTAAAACAACCACTATTAATACGTGTACATATGAAATCAACAACCCAATATTTACAAAACCCGAGTCCATTATACAGATTCCCCGAGAAGGGCGCCAGTTAATAGCACCGATATATATAATTCCGTGATTAAAATATTAATTGCACTAGGATTAAAACGGAACAGAAATAATACATTCGCCAATTAGAAACGTTGTACTCATGGTATATATACCTTCATCAAGGATGTAACTAAAATAGAATAAACGTGTAGACAGTATTTCTTAGAGAATTCATGTACATGTAGACGTTAAGATTTAATACATTTGTATAATCACGTTTAGAGATAGTTATTGCTAGGTAATAGGATTTCCCTGTATTTGTAGCAGAAACTGACATGAATAGTTTTAAACCAATCAAATTATCTTGTTTTTAAACTCCCTTACTTGGCATGTGTAACTCTGCGTTGTAACGTCAGGGCTATAACTACATGTACACCGCGAATTCAATTATCGGAGATCGAGGGGTGATATATTACTCTCTGTATACTTTGTAAAACTCAATTGTGAAATTGTGCGGGGCTCGTGATTACTAACGCTCTCAAATTTTAGGGACGTAAATAATTCCATGAAAAATGTACGTACAATACATATTAGATAGCTTGCAATACTAGGCTCGTATCGATCTTACCACAAATCATTTTAGTTTTTACATTTTAACCAAATTCATTTGAAGCAGCCTTCACTACGCTGATTAAATATATAGTTGTCGTGACCAGATTTGTAATGGAAATGAAACACCAACACCTCGTCTCTATATCTTATCGGTGTGAGCGAAAGGAGTACTCTAAAACCAAACTAGTAGCGTACCATGTTTCTGTCATAATGTGTGTAATTTCTGTTGTAAGATATTGAGCTAAATGAAGTTTCTTTAACGATAACTGATGTAAGATATTAAACTAAATGAAGTTACTTTAACGATAACTGATGTAAGATATAAAACTAAATAAAGTTACTTTAACGATAACTGATGTAAGATATTAAACTAAATAAAGTTACTTTAACGATAACTGATGTAAAATATTGAGCTAAATGAAGTTCCTTTAACGATAACTGATGTAAGATATGGAGCTAAAGGAAGTTCCTTTAACGATAACTGATGTAAGATATCGAGCTAAAGGAAGTTCCTTTAACGATATCTGATGTAAGATATGGAGCTAAAGGAAGTTCCTTTAACGATAACTGATGTAAGATATCGAGCTAAAGGAAATTCCTTTAACGATAACTGATGTAAGATATTAAACTAAATGATGTTACTTTAACGATAACTGATGTAAGATATTAAACTAAATGATGTTACTTTAACGATAACTGATGTAAGATATTAAACTAAATAAAGTTACTTTAACGATAACTGATGTAAGATATTAAACTAAATAAAGTTACTTTAACGATAACTGATGTAAGATATTGTGCTAAATAAAGTTACTTTAACGATAACTGATGTAAAATATTTAACTAAATGAAGTTCCTTTAACGATAACTAATGTAAGATATTAAACAAAATAAAGTTACTTTAACGATAACTGATGTAAGATATTGAACTAAATAAAGTTACTTTAACGATAACTGATGTAAAATATTGAGCTAAATGAAGTTCCTTTAACGATAACTGATGTAAGATATCGAGCTAAAGGAAGTTCCTTTAACGATATCTGATGTAAGATATGGAGCTAAAGGAAGTTCCTTTGACGATAACTGATGTAAGATATTAAACTAAATGATGTTACTTTAACGATAACTGATGTAAGATATTAAACTAAATGAATTTACTTTAACGATAACTGATGTAAGATAGTGAGCTAAATGAAGATACTTTAACGATAACAAATGTAAGATATTGAGCTAAATGAAGTTAATTTAACGATAACTGATGTAAGATATTGAGCTAAATAAAGTTACTTTAACGATAACTGATGTAAGATATTAAACTAAATGAATTTACTTTAACGATAACTGATGTAAGATAGTGAGCTAAATGAAGTTACTTTAACGATAACAAATGTAAGATATTGAGCTAAATGAAGTTACTTTAACGATAACTGATGTAAGATATTGAGCTAAAGGAAGTTACTTAAACGATAACTGATGTAAGATATTAAACTAAATGAATTTACTTTAACGATAACTGATGTAAGCTATTAAACTAAATGAAGTTACGTTAACGATAACTGATGTAAGATATTAAACTAAATGAAGTTACTTTAACGATAACTAATGTACGATATTGAGCTAAATGAAGTTACTTTAACGATAACTTATGGACGATATTGAGCTAAATGAAGTTACTTTAACGTTAACTGATGTAAGGCATTGAGCTAAATGAAGTATTGTTATCGTTATAGTTTGATGGTGGGAACTTCCATAGAAAGGTCTAGCTTGATTGTAAGATTTAAGTTTTTAAATATTGAACTTGATGAAGCAACTGCAGCGGTATAGTTAGACGATAGGAAACTCCTTTTATATGATACTGAGCTTGATAAGTAACTGTAGCCGTATATTTTGACGGTAGAGAACACCTATTGTTACCAAATGTACTCTTAACTTCATAAAGGAAGTTAAGTGGTATAGTTTGACGCTAGGAAGCCCGCGTAGGGATGCTCCTAAAAATAGTACACTTAACATGTTCCAGCATGTACATTACTTACGCTTCGGTTCACCGATTAATCAGGGAGATCTTTGTGCATTTTCGTTTTATTTCTCCCATTAAAAATGAACTGTTAGGTGGTTTATCTGAATCCACCTACCTATATACGGCACCAATTAGGACCCAGTGACGATATGATACCCATTCGAAATAAAACAACCGAAGCATTGGTTAAAATTCCAATAAATAAACCTTGTGTAACTGAGTGATGTCAAATTGAACACGGTAATTACTGGTATCGTATGATTTAACATCGGGCACGACCCGCATTAAGACGCACATCCAGTGAGACGGCACCGACGGAAGGTCTTACAATGTACTTGGAATACTCGCTACTGGCTGTCTTATTTCAAGGAAATGGCGACACTCGCGTCCTACACAGGATGTGTATCAGATGATCGTAATGGGTCTTGTTGAGTCCAAGTAGTAACTTTAACTAATGCTTTGTTCGTATTAGACTCTAGACAGGATGAGGTTTGTAACGTGTATTAAGACGTAAATACGCCGACGATGTTTGTTGAGGAAAACAATAAAAAAATCAAGTATTTTCAAGAAAAAAGAGATATCATTATCCGCAGGGTGTTATCAATCTAAGACATCCTCATGAACTTTATATTAATGTATGAATCAGAAGCCAATAAATAATAACAAGAATGGAGAGGGATAACCCAGACTTACAATATGTTGTTTTCGTGATGACAACACTGCCATCAACTGAGAGTATGTAGTGTACATATACTGGTAAAACGGGAGATAACTCTGTGTATGATGGGAGAATCCACGGTCTTCAGGGATAATATTGTACCTAGGTAGGCAACGTTGTCTTCATTGATGATATATTCTATTATAAAGATATCAGAAATCTTTTGATATGAAGAATTGAATAATTTCGAAAACAAAATACACACATGCTGAATTCGACATCTTCACCGTTATTCTACCAGCTAGTAAAGAGAATGTAGTTTAGCTTTATAGCCACTTGTGTTTTATACTTACACAATAAAAAAAATACATAACATGTTGAATTTCGCCTGTGCTGTACATACAGTTGTATAAATATATACCATCCAGTAATGAGACTTACCCTTACACTGCTGTGATCATTGCTGTATAGTCTAATAACGAAATTACACCGAACCTCATTGATGGTCATAAAGGAGGTGTTTATTAATGAAATTACAGCGACTTTCTGGGTTAATCATACAGGATTATACTTGGCCAGATAGTTATTTATCTGTCAAAATACTGCAAAGACATGTATTTCTCTTAAGGCCCGGTCACAACCCACCGTGCGTGTTTTTAGTCCGTACGTTTTTTGGGGAAGCCACGGCCGCCACGTTTTTCTGAAAACGTGGGGAGGGAGTGGCAAGAGCAGGGAGAGTACGTCAACGCACGTCACTCGCACGGTTGCAAGGTGAAAGTACGTGGCCCGCACACCACGCCTGGGCGTGAGCGGTTGCGTGCATCGTACGTTGTACACGTGGTAAGTGAAATGTACGTGCTTACAACGTACAATCTCCGTGCGATTGCTACGTTATCGTACGGAAGCCATACTTACACGTGCTGCTCACGTGCGGTGTCTTTACTCACTCGCATGTTGTAAGTGCGTGGAAGTGCGATTAACTGGAGTTTTTCCGCCCAATGTCGGGGGAGGGTTGGGGGGGGGGGGATATATAGAACGACCTTCTTCTGTGTCCTCTTATTAGGCATCTTGGAGACGAAATGTTGGCACTCGGCCACCGGTTCCGCTTTTATATATACTGCAGAAATCAGTGCGCAAAACATGCGTTGTAAGTGCGGATCACGTGCTTACTCGGTACGGTCCACGCCAGTTCTGCGTGCTCATTAGACAGTAGAACTGGGGAAGCGCCGGGTAAGCACAGACTACGGACTTATCACGTGCGCAACACGCACGTGCTAAGTGCGCCGTCCTCAGAGCAAGTGACCGTTGGAAACATTTAAAAGACGCACGGAGTCAGTGCGTTGTGCGCTCATTGGCTGTAAAAGGCACGCGCGTCATCCGTACTGGGGTGAATCCGTAGCCCGACCGCATCCTGAACGCAGCGAAAGTTCCTCATGCAGTAAAAGTGCTACGGCGTGTCTGCGTGCTCCCAAATCCGTACTGAGGCGGTACTGACCACGTACGGATCCCCAAATTTTGCCCACGTTTTTGCAAGTAGACAGCACGCACTTGTAAGTACAGCGGGTTGGGACCAAGGCTTTACCCTGGACAGATTTCTCCTTACTTTTACCGGTGTGAGATTTCCTTGTCTCACCCTAGGGTTGAGACGAGCTACACGTGCTCTTTGCACGTTCTGCACAATAAACCTGACGTCACTGATGTGACCCGGAAGAAGAACTACTTTTATGAGGTCACACACATACACAAATTCGTCTGCTTATCTTGTCGTGTTTACATTTGACATCAAAGAAGATGGGATTGCCTTTAAAATGTTTAGAATATGATGCGTGAACCGTTTGACGCATACATATAATATTAATACGCTATCCACGTGTTCCTGTTTTCAAACAATATGCTTCGTCTTACACTTGGACACGAACAACAGGGTAAGATAAAAATAATCATTCACCCCCTCGCGGATGAGATAGGGAGATCTCAACCCTCGGGGAAAGATTCTTAAGTTGCCAGACACTCGGCAAAGCCTCGTGTTTAACAAATTAAGAAACTTTCCCCCTCGAGTTAAGATCCCCCTTTCTCACCCCTAAGGGGATGAAAGATTTTATTAGTCTCTTTCTGTACCAATCTCCCTCTCTCCAAATAAAGGTGTTAACTTTTCAGATAAGAAACAATATAATTATTGATAAAACGGTGTATAATGTGTACTGTACTGTAAACGTCTTTTCTTTTCAGGTACCTTGCGATATGCAGAACACTGGAATTTAAACTAGAGTCTAAAACCTGCAAGTCCATCATCGTGTGTATCTGGGTAGTATCGCTAGCCATTATGGTACCCTGGGCCGTGTTTTACGACATAGCCGAGTTCAAAACCTCTCTACAGGTGGTGCCTATTTGTATTCAAAGATGGCCAAGTCCAGTGGCAAAGAAGGCCTATGTGATAGGCGCGCTGTTTTTGTGTTGTTACGCCATCCCTCTCGTCCTTATATGCGTCTTCTATTTGTTGATAGCACTACGGGTATGGAACAGAGAACCTCCAGGCGCAAAGAATTCTAGTTCCTACATCATCCACCGGTCTAGAGTAAAAGTCGTCAAAATGATAGCCGTTGTTGTCATTATGTTCGCCGTATCCTGGCTCCCACTTTACGCTGTTAATCTCAAACTAATTCTGTATGGAGTAGAAGATCATGAAACACAGATTATGAGCGAGATTGTGATTCCTTTCGCTCAGTGGCTTGGGTCGTCTAACAGTGTGATGAATCCAATAGTATACTGCTTCTTTAGCCGTAAGTTTAGAGATGGATTTAAGGATGTGATCACGTGCTTCCGATTTCGGTCGAGGTCTTCATCTCACTACGTGAGACCAAGTATAAACATGAAGTACCATAACCACAAACAAAGTCCATCGCACCGCACTCACTCGTCACTGTGTCCCAGTCCCGATAGGAGTTACACTAACTCCGACACTTTCGTCTGACTACAACTCCTTGGAATTTCCCGTCTCTGTGTCCCTCCCAGTCACGGAAGGAGTTACACAAACTCTGACACTTTCATCTAACTACATCTCCCTGGGCTTCCACGTTCCTGTGTCCCAGTCCCGAAAGGAGTTATACAGTTGTACTCCGACACATTCGTCTGACTACATCTTTATTTTAATCATACGTCCTAAGGAGTTACAATGTGTGAAAATCTGACTGCACCAGCTTTAACCCGAGACTAGACTAAAGCTACAGCGCCAATGATAAGTGTGTGACCGACTTTATAACATCTCTACTGTCACAATTCTAGAGTAGGACACAACCCAACATGTACTAGATCAGCAGAAAAGGACTAAATGTAAAAAGACAATCGACGCCCGTAGGATTTCCATCGCTGTAGTCAACACCTCAGAGGTCTTCAAACAACCCATACTAGTCAAGTAGACCAGCCACTGTTCTAACGCATGGCTGGACGAATGAACATGCTTTTAACGAACAACTGTGTTAAATATTATTTGCATAAATGATGTAACTTATATACCCAGACACTATACATGTATATCAGTATATCAGTATATTATATGCATGTAACTTTCTTTGTAGTTTATTTCACGAAGAATAATTGAACAGAATATCATATATGTTATAAAATAATTGTCCAAGATATAAGTTATAAGATAAATTCAATAAGTTTCTGTATAAGATATATATTCATTTAAGATACATGTACGCATCTCATTAAGAAAATTATATAAGATATCTTAAAAAATAATCAAGATACACTACATTGTATTTGATATAATAAGATGTATTAACTGCTATTTAAGATAGTTTCTACTAGTCTCACTGTAGGTGTCTACATTCCACATACTATATATAAACTATAGTCATTTTTATAATCACCAATCTTTCATCGTAACTCGCTTAGAGAAATATGTATGAATATTAAACTCGGTATTATCTGAATGCTATGTCTTTAAAGTTGGTAGCTGGTAGCTGGTTTTGTAAGAACATCTTTTGTGAGCTGGGTTCATGAAATAAATGGAGTAAGACAAGTAAATAGCCTATTCTCAGAATAGTCTATATTATAAACAGCAGACTAGGATCGGTCAATCAAGGGTAACTTTGTACCGTATACGAACACCTCTCCTTGACCTCTGTACATTGTTATCAAAGACTGTCTTAAAACAGTATAAGCAACCTTTTCAAAAACAGATGAGTGACTTTTGACGGGCTGACTTGCGGTGATTGAGGCGATTGGCATTGTAAACGGAACATGCTATTACAACCCTTTTGCATTCCAATTCTGTTGTTTGTATCGATTTTTGGTTTTAAAATTGGGTTGTGATCGATGTCTGTCAGAGCTTACAAAATGCATTTAACAATCAATTGCAGAGTTGTTACAACGCTTATTGTGCGATATATATCAAACTTGGATACTTCCGATGACTTGGCAACGTTTCGTTGAAGTTTAGGAACATAAATGGCGGTAAAAGTTAATATCGTTAACTGTATATATATGACTGATGTTTGCCGTTTGGATGAAGTGTAAGGAGACAGCTGTGAGAGGTTAACATTCAATAGATAGGACTTCATGCTAACTTTCACACACTTTTCACATTTGAACATACATCTAATTTCTGCTAATACGTACATCTCCAATGGAAGCGCTTCGGTTGCTATTGTATGTTTCAAATACAAAATTTGACGTAGGCAATTTAAATGTTTACCTAGGCGCTACCCCGACATGAACATGAACATATTGATGATGATTGTGAGGATGATGATGATAGTGCTGATGATGATCATGAGGATGATGATGATGATTCTGAGAATGAGGAAGATGATAATGGTGATGATGATGATGAATGTGAGGATGATGTGGATGATGATCATGGTGATGAGGAAGATGACGACAACATTCAGGATGATGTTGATGATGAGTGAATTAAGTGTCAAAATGTGTGTTAGAGAGTGTGAAAATTAAAATTCTTGTTCTGTACCTATATTATGAAAAACAGTTGGAAAAATGAACAATATCTATACAATTATGTCAAGACCATGCTTAGAGCTGTCCCATACATACATGTATATCCCGTGACGCCGGAAGTCGAACAAAATCCTACTTGCATACCTGACGCTGACAAACCCTCCAGACATCAGTCCGACCGAAATTTCTATTTTAAAAGGGGATATGTTTGTTACTTGTCTGCTTTTTGATTTAGACACTGGTGTCATACATGTAAAAAATGTATGATTTTGTTTATACAGATATATGTACAAATCGTTTGGATTATTATATCGGATTTACTGTATGACGTCAGGATATCCCTGACATTTGATATGTAGGAGAACAAACCATGTGTATAACTAGTTGTATGATCATCCGGTGTCACGTAGACAGCTCAAGACTATACGCTATTAATGTCATGATATTGTATCTATCATACACTGATACACCCACACATATGTTACTAACGTGTAAGATGAACTTGTATGATCCCCTATTGGTTGTTTTGTAATGGTATCTAATACTCTTAGCTTACGTTTGTCAACGGTAATGCTTTGTATTATATCTTTTTTGAAAGTAAAAAAAAAAAAAAAAATGTTATACTGTCTGTATTTCTAATATCATATAAGTTTTTATGGCGAATCGTTCCTGGCAAAAGATTTGTCCAAAAATAAAATGAAAAATTAGAATCTTTTGTCTTCATGATGTTTTGCGAAAGCGTAAACTAAGGTCAACATTATCGTGGAATCTGAATAGATGGATGTCAAACTTATCGAAGTTTTACACAACTACACGATAGACTTAACACAACTACACGATCACCTTAACACAACTACACGATAAAATTATCATAACTACACGATAACCTTATCAAAACTACACGATAACCTTATCACAACTTCACGATAACATTTACACATTGACACGATAACCTTATCACATCTACACGATTACCTTTATACACATCTACACGATAGCCCTTACACACTGACACGATAGCTCTAACACATTGACACGATAGCCTTTACACATCTACACGATAAAATTATCATTATAAAACGATAACCTTATATCAACTACACGATAACCTTATCACAACTACACGATAAATTTACACATTATCACGATAAATTAACACATTATCACGATAATCTTATCACATCTACACGGTAGCCTTAACACATTGACACAATAGCCTTATCACATTGATACGATAGCCTTTACAAATCTACACGAAAACCTTTACACATCTACACAATAACCTTATCACATCTACACGATAGCCTTAACACATTGACACGATAGCCTTAACACAACTACACGATAACCTTATCACAACTACACGATAGCCGTTACACATCTACACTATAACCTTATCACAACTACACAATGACCTTACATTTAACACAACTACACGAAAACATTTACACAAATCTACACGATAGCCTTATCAAAACTACACGATAACCTTTACACATCTACACGATAGCCTTAACACAACTACAAGGTAACCTTTACACATCTACACTATAACCTTATCACAACTACACGATAACCTTTACACATATAAACGATAGCCATTACACACATCTACACGATAACCTTAACACAACTACAAGAAACCCTTATCACACCTATACGTTAACCTTTACACATCTACACGAAAACCTTAACACATTGACACGATATTCTTTACACATCTACATGATAACCTTTACACATCTCCACGATAACCTTTACACATCTACACGATAGCCTTTATACACATCTACACGATAGCCTTAACACAACTACAAGGTAACCTTTACACATCTACACTGTAACCTTAACACAACTACACGATAACCTTTACACATATACACGATAGCCATTACACACATCTACACGATAACCTTAACACAACTACACGATAACCTTTGCACATATACACGATAGCCATTACACACATCTACACGATAAACTTAACACAACTACAAGATAGCCTTATCACAACTAAACGATAACCTTTACACAACTACACGATAACCTTATCACAACTACACGATAGCCGTTACACATCTACACGAAAACCTTAACACATTGACACGTTATTCTTTACACATCTACATGATAACCTTTACACATCTCCACGATAACCTTTACACATCTACACGATAGCCTTTACACTCATCTACACGACAGTTTTAACACAACTACAAGGTAACCTTAACACATCTACACTATAACCTTAACACAACTACACGATAACCTTTACACATCTACACGATAACCTTAACACATTGACACGATATTATTAACACATCTACACGAAAACCTTAACACATTGACACGATATTATTTACACATCTACACGATAGCCTTATCACAACTAAACGATATCCGTATCACATCTATACGATAACCTTTACACATCTACACGATTACCTTTACACATCTACACGATAGCATTATCACAACTACACGATAACCTTTACACATCTACACGATAACCTTTACACATCTACACGATAGCCTTTACACATCTACACGATAACCTTAATACAACTACACGATAACCTTAATACAATTATACGATAACCTTTACACATCTACACGATAACCTTAATACAACTACACGATAACTTTTACACATCTACACGATAACCTTAACACAACTACACGATAACCTTAATACAACTACACGATAACCTTTACACATCTACACGATAACCTTAACACATCTACACGATAACCTTTACACACCTACACGATAACCTTAATACAACTACACGATAACCTTAATACAACTACACGATAACCTTTACACATCTACACGATAACCTTAACACAAATATACGATAACCTTTACACATCTACACGATAACCTTAATACATCTACACGATAACCTTTACACATCTACGCGATAACCTTTACACATTGACACGGTAAGCTTAATACAACTACACGATAACCTTAATACAACTACACGATAACCTTAATACATCTACACGATAACCTTTACACATCTACGCGATAACCTTTACACATTGACACGATCGCTTTAACACAAACGTATGTATGTGACCGAAATGTCTTTGAAGGGAATTTTTTTACACTCTAAACAGTGAAATTATCAATTTGATAGAAACTTTAAATCTTCATTGAATCAATTTTAAATATTAACCAATCAGAACGGTGCTTTCTATTCATTGCATTTTCAGCCTCAGATTTTGAGTATAGCTGCAAATGAAGAGTTGATAGAATAGGTGTTTGGTTTGGTACATCTTTGCTACATACACTTAAGTAATACAACACGGGACAGAGATTTGTTGCCAAGCGTGATGTCATTTGGAATATTGTGTCAAATATGCATATCTATATAATTGTATTATGGTAATACAAGTCTAATCGGCACACTGCCTTGGTGCAGAAATAGTTTCATCATAGAAAAGTAAATGGATTCTCTTTGAATACGATATATGCTTCACTGGTATGGCAGAATGCACCCGTAGAAAGTATCGGTACTCTCCCATCCTCGTGACATATACATGGTAATCAAAGGGAAAAACATTAGTTTTTATTATCGTTATTAATATCTTCTATAATCGTGTAGAGATAAATCATCACCCATGGGTCGGTCATAGGCCGACAAACATCTCACATTCCATTTATTTGTATAGCCTTTTCATCTTCCCGCATTTGCCACGGGTTAACGACGGTATTGTACATGTAACATACGCATCGACAACGAAATTTACCAACAACATGTATCTATTTTTGCCTCTAGACCCTTTTTGTTCTCCAGAAGAGTTTACAAGGCAAGCAGACGAGTAATCAACTATGACACAAGGTAAACGTCATGGCTAAGGGTGTACTTATTTATATATGGTGAAAAGCAACTTGCTGCAATTGGTTTACATGTAACAGCATGACCTTCTGGCATTACTTACGTCTCAGGTGGTAATATCAAATACATGCCGTCTCGTATCTACATATTCAGTTTATCTACAGCCATCTTGACCAAAGGCGGTGATGGATCTTGCGAACCTGTTACCAATGAAAGGAGAATGTGCCAGAAGAACGTCTTTACTGAGATGCACTTAATCGTCGTTCATACATGGTTTTATAACCTCAGCTAACATCGATTGTATGGAAGTGCATATTAATTAGACGACAACCATGAAATACGACAGTATTGTAGAGATCGACAGACATACCAGTAAAGCAGACAACACAAAAATATTACAGAACACAGTAGAATATATCAATATTGAAGACAACTCATACATACAATGTTCTAGTGTAAAAGGCACTATATAACAGCTAGTGTTGGTGAGGTTAACATGCAATTACGGAGGTCAACACAGACAAGCTAGTTTTGAAGTCAACATGGATATATTAGTATAGAAAGCAACATAAAATACTTTTGAAGAGGTCCGCATGAGAAATGGTATTGTAGGGCTCAATATAGAAATGCCGGTATAGAAGTAAACACAAAAACGTATTATAGAGGGCAAGATAAACACACTGGTATAGAAGGCAACACTGACATACTGTTAGATCAACACAGAAATAAAACACTGTACTATAGACGCGAGAAATACTAGTAATGGCATTACTTACAAGGCTGCTGTTTTACTCGTGTACATATACAAGTAACAACGTTGTTCCATAAATATAAATATAAACTTTATTTAATTTACAACAAATTATAAAACAGGTAATTACAACCAATTTAAATCACTTTTTTGTAATGTACATTTTTTTTGTGTTAGATGAA